TTCTTCTTCTTCTTCTTCTTCTTCTTCTTCTTCTTCTTCTTCTTCTTCTTCTTTATTCAGATGTTTCCATTAACTTTCAAATTTGATAACTCACATCTAAAATTGGCAAGTTGACAATGATGGGAGAGGACAGGTTTCCAATTTTGATGGTCGTGTCCTCCACCAGAGGCTGCATGTGGAAGTACAGTGCGACTATGGGCGTGTTCACCCGGTCCTCTTTGCTACGCCTGAAAAATAAGCATTGACAAGCGTTGCAAAGGAAGACAGTTTCAAGGGTCAGAGCATGCCAAGTTTCCTCTAAACAGTTTCAAATGTATACTTGGCAGAGCATGAACATTTCTCTCTCAACAGTTTCAACAACAGACTTTTTAGAGGATGACATTTTACCTTTTTGTTTATTTTAGTAGAGGTTTTACGACTCTCGCAACTGCATAAGGTCATACATGAGGGCCAGTTACTTTTTTTGACTTGTATGCCTTATCATCCTCTCTCTCTCAATTCCATGATTTCAAGAAATGATTGACTTACAATAGAAAAAAGCAGCTGTACAGATGCATACGTTTTCATACTGGAAAACCAAGTTTTAAAGAGGGGAGGGCTGTCTCGCTTATTTGTGGATCAAACTTGTACAAAATTTCACACGTACAACAAGCATAGTGAAGAGTCTTCAAATCTGCAATCAAATTTTAGGAAATCGTTTCTTTACCATGGATACAGCGGCCATATTCTATTTTGTTGACATGCCTTGTACAGTTAATAGATACCTCAATGATTTTCTATGGTTCTGTTGAATTTTTTTTGGAACGAATTAGAATATTTTTTATGAATCCTTTTCTTGAGGTAGTTTTCAAGGTTGCGAAAATCATTGAAAGTTCACACTCCAGACACCACCACCAAAAGTTTATTTCATATATTGAAAACCAACGATAAAGAAAAAAAAAAGAGAAACTTTATGAGGACAAGGAAGTGACTTACCCGCCTGATATGCGACGTCATAGGGTTTAGGGGGTTCTTATGGGATGAAATACTTGTAAGAGAGGCTGAAGAAGCCAAAATGCCTGTATTTCAAAATCAATAATTTTGACCCGAATCGGGACTCTCAGGGGCTAGCCCCCCCCCCGTTTTAGCCTTTGAGCACAGCAAATTTCTTCCCCCCCCCCCCCCCCCCACTCCCTTTTTAAAAATAGGAAAGGGGCGTGTCTTAAAGTGCGGGAGGTAAGGACTAGCGGAAGAGCGTGCAGAAAGGGAGATTCAGTCGGTGTAGTCTACTCTCTAAGTTGAAAGTACGAGGTAATAAATACTGCTCTCCAACGTTGGGAACCTAGCTATATGCGATGGAAATTTTTCTTCAATATCCAGATTATTATTTTTCGTTGAATCACTATAATAGTACAGAAGAAGCAAAAAGTATATTAAAGACTAAAACGTGGTATTTCTTTTTTTTAGGAGGGGGGAGGTGGATGTTGTTACAAGATATTTTAAGTTATTTAACGTGTCGTCATGTTCGGGTTTCAGGAGGAAAATTGAAAGAAAGAACAAACAAAAACAAAACAATAACAGCTCATTCCCTTCTCACCTTGTTAATCACTAACAAAATCGATATATTATCAACCTGACCACCACACAGTTGGCTAATCATCTCACCGTTTTTGCCCTTTTCCTCTTTGATTCCTCCCCCCCCTTCTCTCTCACCACCTTCTCTCTCTTTCTTTCTCTCTCTTTATTTCTCTCTCGCTCTCTCGCGCGCTCTCTCTCTCTCTCTCTCTCTCTCTCTCTCTCTCTCTCTCTCTCTCTCTCTTGCATTATAAAAAACCGTTCGGTTAAGTAAACTTTCATTATTTGTCATGGTCAGGTCGGTCCGATGTTGTGTCCTTGAAATAGGCATTTTCACAAGTTTTCCCATTTTGCTCGACCTTTTGCTGCCAGTGCCGCAAAACTTGTACAAAAACTAAAAAAAAAAAATGGTATTGGAGATGGACGTTATATTTGGAGGTTTCGTCTTACGGCCTTGCAGTGTTGCAAGGGGCGATAAACTCATACACTTTCGCCCATCTTTGTCTGAACCATACACGGCGACGTGTCTAGTGATGGATAGAATGGGACTTCGAATTTGTTTTACAAAGGAACGTAGCCTCCCAAGAGGTGTCATATAACACAACTGAATTTAACATGAGTGAGAGTCAAAACATTCAGAACCGTTATTTAAATTTCAAAAAATTACATGAAAATGAATTTTTGAATATCCAAGAAAAAAAACATTGTTCTCAAAACAATAAAGAAAGATACTGCGTTAGGTTTTTTAGCGCCTCGGGGACAAAACAAGAGAAAAATAAAGAAAACACAACGTCAATTTCTTTGACCAAAGAAACGTAACCATTTGGCAAATAAATGCAGAGGTCTCGTATTTAAAAAATGTTCAAGAGCACTCACTGAATATCTCCTATCTCTTGGGTCGGAAGCATACGTGCCAAGGTCTTGTACCTGAACGTCGATATCCCGACAAACACTGAAAAATAATCCATTGTGACGAAGATCTTGAGAATTTTCGAAGCTAAATTAAAGAAAACAACTCAACTGCTACACACCCGTTTACTCAGTTATGCCTGTGTGTTATAATAATTCAATTAAAAATAATTTTAAAAATTATTGAAATTAGCTTCTGTCGTCAAAACAATTTTGTTTTTACAGAATTTCAACTTTTCTGTGAGAAAAAAAGAGAATGTTCATGGGGGAATTCCGAGAAGTGTCTCTCGTGTTTACTTAAGGTGAAATTTATAACTGCAGCAATTGATCTTGTTTTTGTTGTTTGGTGTCGATGTTTATTGAAGGTGTTGTTGCTGTTGTTGTCGTTGTTGCTGTTGTTGTTGCTGTTGCTGTTGTTGTTTTTGTTGTTGCTGTTTTGTCGTCTCCCTTCCTCCTTTTACTTCTTCTTCTTCTTCTTCTTCTTCTTCTTCTTCTTCTTCTTCTTCTTCTTCT